TTTATTTAAAAAAATCTGTCACATAAAAGACACGTTATAGCCTTTATCTCTCATTTGAAAAACACATTTAGAAAAACAACGTGTACGTAACATTATTGTAACTGCAATTATATGTATAGGATTCTGTCATCGTTAGAAAAAATGTCATATAAAGAAATCCGCCTCTTTAAAAACACGTTTAAATGCCAGCCTCGAAAAAAAGTAACTCGCCTTTCTACGAGATTGCTGCGCTACTTTTAATTAATACTTGTTAGAAAAAAGAAAAGCGACCGTCAGACTGGCGCGAAAAGACAGGTATCCGGCGGAATATCTTCTTCGTGCCCTTCTTGCAGATTTTTCATGTTTTAATTAGTTTTTTGTCCGGTTTGTTTATTTTTAATCCGTAGTGCCATGTGGAAAAACGTTTTAAGTTATTACTGCGAAGTACGTGCATTTCGTTGACTCTCGTCACGACCGCGACTGCGATTGCGAGGCTTAAATATGATTAAAGCATCGTTTCCTGTAAAATTAACTTAACTCACGTAGTTCCGCGCGTTTTATCCTGTATGTTGTTGAAACAAAGTGGTTAGCGTACGATTTTAATAAATGCAACTTTGAAGTATGTTTCCATCTTGACCGTTATTTCTCTCAGATTAATTGTACAAACAAATGTCATTTAATTATAACATTTCCTGCCCAGAAAAATGAGTATTTCGAGTCTGACAATTAGTAGTTGTGGGTCGTTATGTAATTTGAAAAAATTTATACGAATTAATCTTCAACATGAAAAGTACACAACTAAATTATATTTTTTTAATTTTTGAATTTTAATCAATTTTTTATGCAAGATTTTTATTTGAAGTTAACGTACGCATTAATTGTGTGGGATATTAAAAATCAAACAATTGGAAAATGAATAATGGCTTTTCTCAATTTCATATTAAATAACAACTGATATGAAACTCCTAAAAGACAAAATTATTTAATATTGAGAATTGGAAAGTTTTAAACTGTGAACAAAACTCACGTAATGGCATTAATACAGCTTACAGTTAGTTTCAAATATATGAAGAAACTTCTTAATAGAAGTTTCTCTTTTGAATACAGAACACTAATTATTTATTTTAATATTAAGACTCTAATTTAATCTATGTGACACATTTCTAAGGAGTATTATATATTTTAATTAGTCTAATCTTTCTCTATATGACGAATTGTTGATTAACTTATAAAGTACAAATCTCCTTAATTATAGATAATTCTTAAAAGAGAACACTCTATTAGAGATATCAAATTGCCTCTGCAGGATAAGAATATTCAGCTAAATATATTGCAATTATCAACGATAATTTATTCAACCAGGAGATATCGAATTTCCTTAACAAAGACCCTGATAATATTCAATTTTACGATTTCTTTCTTGCTAATTATCTTTATTTTTATCAATCGATTGCATCGTATTTTTATGTCATCTTACGTCTCTAAAATATTTGTATTGAATAAATTTATATTAATTGTAAGAGAAATGCAGAAAGATTATAATCAATTAAAATTTAAGTATTCAAATATTATTATATTAATTTTTAATGCGAATAATCTGTTAATTGATAAAAGTATTTAATAATATGTGTGAAAAAGAATAATAATATTAACAAACGCATTGAGTAACCATTGCATTTTTCTGATCATTATCTTATATACATAAATATATAAATAACTAAACATAAAATTAAATAATTAAATATATCATATGTCATTAAATATTAATTGATTATTGACAATCGCGCTAATTTCTTCATATTTAAAACCAGGAAATATCAAATTTCATTAATAAAGACTCCGATAATAATCTTATTATTATTATTACATTGATAATCTGTCAGGTATTTTAAAGAAAAATAATATGAAGAGAGTATATTTTTCTTGGGAAAAGTTTTCTAGATTTTCGATTTAAGACACAGCAGCTTTCGCATGATATCATCTTTCGTAAGTTCTTTCGCACCGAAAAACTCTAGTAATTTCTAAAAGTTTCCGATGACGATGGAAAAGATTTTCTTACTTTGTCGTTATCATGACAGTAAATTTTGAGAAATAGGCAGCAATATAACATCTTGTTAAAAACTCGCAAAATTCCACGGAAAGTGGAATAACGATCGATATTCAGAGAGCGATCACGCGAGAAAACCGACGAATTTCGCGTGACCCTGCCAACGCGATTCTAAATTAACGAGCTACGCTAATTTACGATTTTTTTCTGAACGTTGCATATATCAACCCGTAAAATCTGTCAATGGGAAAAGTCGATTTTTAACGACCGGTTCAGAATTATTTTTGCCGAGAATATTTTATTTTCGTCCGCGATTCATAAAAGCATTTAAGAGAATAACTTTTGGGTCAAAATGTTTATTTGTGTAATAAACATAAGAGTTTTCGCGAAACTTTCCCAATTTTCGTCGAAATTACGCGCAGCTCGGAAAATCATTTAGGAAAGAAATTAATTCGCAGATATAATAATTTTAAATAAGATATAAAATTTAAAGTACTTAAAATATTATAAAATAATATTATTTGTCACATGTCTTTCCTCAATACACTTTTCCCTGATATCCTGTACAGTGTAAATTTTTGGTAATTCAAGCCAATTCCGGTTCATCCACTTCCATATGTCGTCTACCTACCCTAACTATTTCCCTAACTAATTCTCGCAAATAAACGAATGCTTCTCGGTTCGCGAATTCGCGAGTCGGGTTTGTTTTACGACGGCGTGCAAAAGAGTTGCCCGAGTTGTAGCGGGTGCACGCATGATTACGATAAATCTCAATAGAAAGCCAATTACTCGAATGGGGCGGGGGTAGAAGAGAGGGAGGGAACGGCTGGCGGCAAAGTTGGCGGGACACGTTAATGAGTTTAAGTGAATGGTACGGTAAATTGTGCTATCTACGTTACTGTTTTAGTTCGTTCGACAGTAAATTCATCAGCGAGAGGAAGGAGATGGTATATTTAACGCAGGCCCTCGTAAATCGCGGCAAGAGCAGCGCCCCTTAAAAAAACCTCGAATCGTGAGCAACGCGTTAAAATTGCTGCGTCGAATTGCTGTTTCGCTTGCCTGCGAAAAACTCGCAACAAAGTCTAATTCGATCGACCGTCCGGTTTGCCCCGGATAAATATCGTTGTCGGACGTGTGGCCCTCGTCGTCTTCGCGCCGTACTTATCGCATAGTTAACCCCTTAGCATATGTCTCCTGTCACTCTTTTAATACAATCTAAACACGGCGTTCGTTCGCGGCGTAAAAGAGACACCGGGATCTCGAGGAACGCAATTCTCTCGCCCTCTCTTTCGAGGAGCTTCTTTCCCTCTTTTCATCGGAGACACTTCTGTATCACTTTTTCTCCCCCCTCTCTCGTCGTCCCTCCCCTTGTCCGTCTCCCCGTCCTCTCTCGTCCTCCGCTTCCCTTCCTTTTTCGCTCTCGTTTTACCTATGCGTGCGATTTCGCGAAATAAAAACGTCGCGCCAAGTCTCAGACGCTCCAAATTTGTCGTGACAAAAATACGCTTTATCGCACGCCGTCGGTCGGGGCTTCCAGACACTTAGGAGGCAGAGGTAGACTTCCCTCCGGGCTTCCACGGACAGTGCCGGATTAAGAGGATGCGCGTCCCGGGATACAAGCGCAAACATTCCGCCGAAAAAGACGTGAGCGCGATTATTACTGGACATTTATACATCACGCGCAGACAGGTGACTTTAAATTAGATTAACCCCTATAAAAGTTAGTCCGCATCTTTCTCGAAAGAATTGATGCGAATAAAGTTTTACGAATTTAATTTTTTACCAGAGTTCGACAACGGCATCAAACAACGAATCACGACGAAATTAATGCAATAGCTGCTTACGAGGGAAAAAAAATGAGGAAGAGACTCGCACGTCAAAGGAAAAGTGGAAAGAAGACGCTTGGAAAGGAACGGTAGAGGGAACGATATAGAGACGCGCTATAATTTATTTATCCGAGCATATCGAGCGAGGCTCGGGGCTCTTAATCTCGCGGTAGCTTCGAACTCGTCTCTCGTCGCGGTTAGTTAACCGTGGCCTATAAATAGCCACGACGACGACATAACATTATTTTTCCAAAGAAACGACGCATCGGGGTCTGTCTCTTCTCGAAATCCCCACGGTTATTCCGTCGCCTTCGGCCGCGTCCCTCCCTCCCTCCCTCCTTCTCCCCCTGTGACGCTTTTGCAGTCCATCGTACGAAAGACGTCGTCGCGCGGATTCTGATGCGACGCATACATTTAGTTAAATTAAGAAACTGTGCGTCTTCTCGCACACGCATCCGAGAAAAATCCCGAGACAGGCCAATAAATTTCGTCGCGGCGACGACGCAGTCTGGTCAGGACGGTGTCTCATTTTAAGTATTAACGTAGATAGTAATAATTAGATAAAAATAAAAATAGTTAAGAGATATTGTATAGCTAAATGTATATTAATTTTCAATTTTGTCGCCAATTAAAACTAAACCTAACGAAAGATATAATCTGCTCCGTACTTATATCTTGAAAATTGACTTGTATCTTTAATTATATATATTTCTCCGTTAATTTTAATAATATCCTCTTTCTGTAAAAATGTATTTAATTTTATTTAATATAAAAATAAGATTTAATTGTATTAAATATCTAATTTTATTTAAGATTAATAATAAAAGAAAATAATGTGAATATTAAAATGGGAGGAAAACTAAGGAAAATTAAGAAAGTCAGATGAGGAATTTTCTTCAATGATTATATTTTTATTTACAATTAGATAAATAATAATTAATTAGAAAATTGAAAATATTATATTCTTGTTGTTTCAAAAAGGACGTAATTCTATCATTTCTGTAATAAAATAATCATTAGAAATTTTCTGTTTTCAATATCTGTATTATTTGTAAAGTCTTATAATAAAATCTTAACACAATTATGTAAAATCTGATGATATTGCGTAAGTCGATTCTCCGCTAATCGATTTGAATTTTTTGTTACAGATGCGCAGAGGGTTTCACGGGTCTACGGTGCGAGACGAAGGACGTCATCAGCACCGGAAGTGTGTATAATCCGCGTATGCTGCCCTTTTCCTGCAAGCTGGGACTCTCTACCTCGTACTACTGCTAGCGATAATCGCGCGGGGCCCTTTAAACACATGAGTAGACCCTTTTTTTTACCCTTACGGTGTACTTGGAACCCACGAGATAGAGTCGTGAGAGGGCCAACGCGCGACCAAAGAGGGGAGGGAAAATCATGCGAATGAAGAAAATTAGATGGAAATAGAGAGAGACACAAAGACAGAAGAAACGATGACGGGGACGAGGCGTTTAGGCGAGGAATCGACAAGAGAAAGAGAGAACAAGAAAGTTAGAAATTTCGGACGAATTTCGGTTCCGTCGATCTCGGGCATTAGGACAGGTCCTGCGTATTCCTTATACGGGAACAGGTTCCAAAATAGTTCGGACCGGGCATTCGTACCTTCTTTAATAACTAATGTTACTTTTACATCTTTTCCTTCTTCTTCCTTTTACATTTATCATTTTTCTTCTACTTTTATCTTATCTGCCTTCTTCCTTATTCTTCCTCTTGTATATTTTTCCATTCCTTTTTGTTTTATTATTCCTGTCATTTCTTGTTTTTCTTCTTCTTTTTTTTCGTTATTATCAATACTTTCCTTCTAGAAAATGTCACTACGCGACGTGCTCGCGCTTCCGCGTAAAGTTCTCCGGAAAGAGGGAGAATGGAAATAATAGAAAGAATGGACGAGGGATCATGAATATGAAAATGAGCGTGTGAAAGGGGGCAAGAGAAAAAGGGAAAAGAGAGCTCTCGACTCTCTCGATGCTCCTTTCGGTCGTATAATCGGGAAGAGCTTTCAAGCTCTATCGCAGATTCGAACGGCAAATGCTTGACCTCGAGAACGAGGACGTGGAAGCGTGGCCGGAGAAACGCGCACTCGTGTGTGTCGCACACTTCTCCGGGGTCTCCGTGAACAGGAGAACAATACCAAAGAGCCCAGGGTCTCGATCAAGGACGACGAGCGCGACTACGACGGTGTATTGTCACCTGAAGATGATCAGGATGACGCGAAGGATCCTCGCTTCTCCTCCTCTCGATTTTTCTTTTAACGTGATCAACATATATCGAGCAAATATTGAATCGATTTTTAGTAAGATTGCGCCAAGGAAAGAAGGTTAAAGAAAAAGTGACACAAAGTTCTTGACTTCGCGTACAAGAAACATCTTAATTGATTGATGAAATTTTATTTTGATCAATACAGAGACAATTCTCTTCCGATTTAATAGAGCAAAGAGTATGAGACATGAAATATTAATATCATCTGTTTCCTTGGATTCTGCTAAAACAATCCCTATAAGCCGAAAATAGTTTCTGTGAATAAAACTTACGGTCTGCTAAACAATCTATCTTTTTCTTTGATTTTTCTTTTCTAGCAAGTTTATTGTTTCATGGCTCGGTTTTATTGAAATCGTGGAACGTAGGGCTAAGAAAACTTGGCAGCCGCGGCATGTTCGTTGCTATTGAAAGGCTAGAATGTAAAAAAGAATAATGCGAGCGTTGAATGGAAATCTACTTTTACGTTTTCCATTTTACTTCGAAAGGAACAAAGTCGGAAATAATTTCAGTATATTTCTGTTGGGAAAAATACATAAAAATGTCCAGAAAAACAATTATTCAGAGAATACGTTAATTAGTGAAATCTCAATGACAAAATCTGAAATTTTGATACAGTAAATCACTACGAAAATCAATTGTTTTTTATGATGGTATAAATCATTGATATGAGATAAGTGATTTCGAATTATGAATAATAATTTAAAATATGTTGAACGTAAAAGACATGACAGCCATTGTGGCAGTATTTTAAATAGAAAAATCAATTTTTCGCCAGAAACTAACAATTTTCAACTATGCTGTTGCAGCAACATTTCCAAAGTTTTCAGAACCAATCGTTTGTCATTGTATAAAGAAATGACGCGAAAGGAGGAGAAGGAAATTGGCCAGTCAGCGATCGAGTCACGGGGAAGAGACCATGGGGCAAAAACAATTTAATGTAAAATACGATAGTTTAACGCACTAGATTAGCTAAAAAGCAGAGATGTAGGATAGATAAAAGAGAAAACGAGAAAGAAAGGGTGAGAAAATAACGAAGGGAGGAAACCACGAGAGCGATGGTGAATCCTCATCTCGATGAGACGGGAGACGCGGAGTGATCGAGAGGTTTTTGACAAGAATAACAATCCGACCTCAAAAATATTCTCCGTCTTTAAAATGCGCGATACGTGGAGAAGCATTTATAAAATATCCACAATTATCCATTTTTATTTCCATTTTAATTAAAAATTTGTAAAAAAGAGAAGAAGGGAATATTAATAATATCATGGAAAGAGACGGATATTTTATGGAATCGAGTTGGATAAACCTTTGAAAAGAATTGTATCTAGAGACGAATAATGATCTCAAAATAATGATTTCAAAAATCTCGACGATGATGACTTCCGTGCGCGAGCAAAAATGGTGAGCACATGGGAAGGGAGCGAGGGATGCACGCTATGCTCCAGCAGTCTCGGGACCCTGTATATATATATATATATATATATATATATATATATATATTTATGTTTTATATATTATATTATATATTATATATATAAATATGTGTATAAACATTTTTAATTTATTTATTTAATTCATTAATTTTATTGATTTACGATTAAACGTCATCTCCACTTCAGCAACCGCCTGTGTTTTTAATTTTTTGTTGACCTTTCTGCACCAACATGCTCTTTCGTTTACGCTGCTTCACATATGGCAGGTGGAATACGAGAAGAGTGTTCAAAATCTTTCGCCTCTAATATACTCATAGGTTGTAATAGAGTACAATCTTGAAAAAATTGAATCTGAAGAAAGAAGTAGCATCGCTTATTTACTTCCATAAGAGAATTAAACAATTAAAAAACTTTCATTTATGGAAAATTACAGATCTTTTTCTTTTCTTATTTCGTACACATCTCGAATTTTACACTCTTATATTAAAATATATATGTCACAGTTTGTTCCCTTTACCATATTTTTGATAAAAAAATAATGACAAAGAAAGAAAGAATGACATCTGTAAATAAAGAATAAGGAGAGGGAAAGAAAATGTCTAAAATAATATAATGGTTCATATAGTCATTTGCCATTTTTCTTTTTCAGAAGTTTCGACTAAATAAATATTTCATGCTCCATCTTTTCATATATTAATGGCGAAAGCTTTGTCACGCTCTTCCGTTGCTTTCTTCAAGCAGGTAGGTGCACTTTTTTTAGTTTGCTTTTTATTACAATCTAATTTACATATTATTATTTAAACAATAATTTTTATATTATTTCAGTTTTTTTTTTAATCCAAATGATTCGTTAAATCATTGCGAATCTGAAAATTTTGAACGATATATAACCAGATCGATTTTCTCTAACCAGCTTGTTTCCCGACGTTAAAAGTGCGCTTACACGGTATCGTTTTAATTATATAACGAGTTTTCTCTTTGACGTCTGTAAATCTCAATGAGTTGGAACGCGCAACGAGAATTAATTACAGGCATATTACGAACACTAAAGGTTGCATTTGAGTGAAAATTATATAAATGAGAATGAGATAAAAAATCGTAGCAGAAAATAAATATTTTCTGCTGTTTTTTGCAGAAGATGTTCATGAAAGTTTCATATATATAATCGCATTCGTTATAAACTCGCATAAAATTTCCGATGCGGAAAAATATTTTCGGGCAAACACAAAATAAGATGGAATTTTTCAAGGAAATACGAGGAAAATTTACTTGAAAAAAACAACTCGTTGGTTCTTTCAGCATCTTATTACATTCCGACAAGTCGTTTTGGGACAAGTCATTCCTCTTGCCGAGAAAATAGCTCTTCAAGTATTTTCTTGCGGAAAATCGAGAAACGACTTGTAAATAACGCAAACGGAAGGGGACGACATAAATTTCGACATCATCAAAGGATAATCATAGGAGGGTGAAAATTGATAGAGGCAGAGATATGAGAAGGAAAATGTCGTGTGCATTTATTCATGTTCAATTGACGATAAAGTAAAACGGAAACTCAATTCGTAAAAGCAAAGTATAGAAAATAAAACTAGACCTGTATAGTGAACCACTACGTATCAAATCAAAAAGGGGAAAATACAGGAAAAGATAGTGAACTACTACATATAATGAAGATACATGAAGCTTGAAGATATTAGAAAGAAAAATATAGCTTATCGTTAAAGAAGAAAAAAATTGACAAAATTTTAACGCAATTTAGGTACAAGAACTGTATGCAAAAAAAATTAATAGACTTAAATTTCTTAGCGTATTTTTTTGACTAATTTTAAATCGAGGAATATGGATTTTAAACAGTATTTTATTTACAATTCAAAGATACTTTCATAAATTGTTATGCTCTATATAAAGAATTTTAATTTGCTAAGATATCCTATATATAAGTAATTAGTTAATTGCGCGCGACCAATTCTAAGAATGAAATGCCTTCGATATCAATTCTGTTGTCAGTTAATTAAATGAATTTCGTTTCATATCATTTCATTACAAAAAAAGAAATCAAAAAGGGGAAAATACAGGAAAAGATAGCGACAAATAGGTTGGATGGGAAATAATCGTGGACGCGAATACACGAATATTCACTCTCGATCCTGGCATGTATTTCATGGGCTTGCATTCTATCGTAAAAAAAGTCTCTCTCTCTCTCTTTCTCTCTCTCTCTCTCTCTTTCTCTCTCTCTCTCTGTTTAGTCCATAAAGTTCGAACTGCCACTACAACGATCCTCGTAAACGCTTCTCTTAATCGAACTTCGTGCTCTGAAAGCAACTTTCTTCTATAAGGAAGAGAGGGGAGGACTAAGAAGGATCGAGGATGTGTTATCGAAGGAAACTTACCGAAAATGCGGACTTGCCCTACCCTAAACTTTGCTTACGCGTATTTGGTTCGAATAGTTTTGATTATCAGCCATGAGACGACGAAAAGTTTTCGGACGTATCACACTATCGGACATCTTTCAGTGGCCAATCGCGTAAAACTATTATTAAAAATTCACAATACGACAGATAAATTAGACAAAACATCCTTTGCAATTAATTAGCGCAAGTAAACGAAAAATTATTATTGAAATATACGACAGAACAAGATAATTAGCACACAAAACAAAATTTTAATAAAATAGTGAAATGAAAAAAATTACGATATAACATACATATATATCTAGAAAGAATGTAATAAAAAGTTTGAACTATAAGAGAAAGTCTTTAATATTAAATTCATTTTCATTAAATGTTTAAATTAATATTTAATGAAAGCGCATACATGTAAAAATGTAGTCCATTTTAAAATGAAATTTTCTAAAAACATTAAAAACACATTACATATATGTATAAATTATTAAAAACATAAATCATATAATAGTAATATTTTCAAAAACTTATTACTTAAAAACTTTGAGTAATAATGCAAAATATACGGAAGAAAAAATAAATAAAACAACAAAGAGCTACAAGTTTAAATATAAATTTAATAATTAAAATGTACAAGTATTACATTTTGAAATATAAAATAATTAATAAAAAAATTTGAATACAAAAAACTAAATCAAATATAAACACGGATAGAACAGATAAGTTTCGAGGGTACCATAAAGATAGAAAGCGAAATATCGTGACGTCATTTATCTCTCTGAATCGAAGATAATGATAAAAAATTAAAAAACGATAACTCGACAATGTCAGCCTGAGAAGAACATCCCAGGAATATTCGAGGAAAAGCTTTTTTTGTCAAGGAGCATACACTGTTAGTTTTATGCGACGAATCCGTCGTCTGCTTCCTCATTCTTTGCTCTTCGTACGTCCGGCTAAAGTATTTTTATTATATATCTTTGGACACCCTCGACGGTGATATCTTTTGTGCGCCACCGATCTTTATGAAACATACACAATGACGTCCGCCGGGGGAAGAAATAAAATGTATGAATACCACGAACGATACATGCGCCATATTAAAGCTCTCTGACGTGGCAAGAAAAGTTTTCTGTATGTCGCGTATAGTGTCCTTCTCAATCGTAATAATGAATTTCATCAAACTAATTTGAATTCTAAAGAGATATATATGATCAATTGGCTGTGAGAAAGAGAAATGATGAAACTGCAATGATCGACACAATGCAAATAGCAGCAAAAAATCAAGTAGGGATGATTATTGATGAGCATAAAAAATTATCGGGTTTCCAATCAACAGTCTTCAAATGGAAAGAGATAATTCGAAATGCGTTTCAATGAGTACTTAAAATATCAATACTAACGGATTTCACAGAAAAGCACGATAAAAGAGGATAATAATTAATTGTCTCGATAATTATCGAGAAATGTGATTAATCATGTCGGCGAATAACGTTCGACAAAACGTTAAAAAAAAGCATGGTTATATTTAATCGGCGATAAGCAAAATTTTCGCATAATTGATAAATCCATTTAAATTCGCGCGTTTAAATGTTAAAAACCAAGTATTTTGACGATAGTCGATTTTACATTTATTTCCATATAACGAAAATAATTTGATTAGTTAAAAATTTAATAAAAATTATAATGCCGTATTCACTAAAAAATTAAAAACTAGTACTAAAAATACTGAATTTGAATGCTTTTAAAATATCTTGTGCTATATGATATTCTTTCCATAATATATGAACAAAAATATGCTCTAATAAAAATTGTATTGTTTGTTTCATTATGCTTAATAATATCTCTTATATCTCCGTTAATTAAAAATATTCCACGTGGAATTTTGACACATGAATGTGCTAATACTAGCGTATCTTTCGGATATGTCCTAACTGACAGCAAACACATTCAAAACGTACTGAACTGAATTCGCTCTTTGACAGATTAATTCCTTAAAAAAACCTACAATATCTCGGGTCATGTCGTATATATTAATCGAAATCGAAATTCTAGTGCAAAAATATATTAAGTAGAAATTTATTTTAAAAATTCCATTTTAAGAATGTGAAAATAAAAAAAAATTATAAAAAGAAATATGAAAATTATTTGATTTTCAGAACATTTCCATTAAAATTAGTAGTTTTAAATAAATACATTACGTAAAAAAAAATGTCTAAATGTAAAATTTTATCATACATTTATGGTAAATTTCTAATCGATGAATATCTTAATAATAATACTATTAAATTTATTTGACATATATAAAAATCAATATTTAATAGATGTTACATTTAATTAATATCCGTTGGAATAGATATCTAACACTATGCTTTATGTGTGTGTAATAATCTGGTACAATCTATTATGATATATAACTATTTTAATCACTAATAATAAATTACGGCCTATCATCGATAAAAATTTTATTATACACACAACGATAAAATATATATCTTACAAAATTATATAACATAGAAATCTGAATAGATGTTTATAATTCAATTTAATTAATATCATATTTAATTAATATTACTACCTCAGTGGAGTTAATTAATTATTCTCAGGTATATTGAGAATCGCGGC